GTCCAGCTACCGGCCCAAGGCCATCTACCTAGACATCGATGGACGCATCCAGAAGGTACGCCCTCCCCTCCCCGCGGCCTCGGTGCGCCCCGGTCCACGCAGCGCAGGTGTCCCCGGGCAGGGCCGCCGGCCACGGGCGATTCTCCCTCGGCGCGCCGAGCCCCAGAGCTGGTGCTCGGAGCCGGTGCGCGCAGGGCCCCGGAGCAGCCAGCCGGGGCGCACACTCTCCAGGTCCTGGTGCATATTCTCCGGGGCCAGGGCACAGACCCTACGGGCCCTGGTGCACACCCTCGGGGCAGGGGTGCACACCCTCCGGGGCCAGGGCGCCGACCCTCCGGGCCCTGGTGCACACCCTTCGGGCCGTGGTGCACAAACTCCGGGCCCTGGTGCACACCCGCCGCGTCCTGCGGCGGGGCGGAGCGGGGCGGCAGCCACAGACTCGGGGACCCCTGCCGCGGCGCCCGGTGGCCTCGCGGGGGACCGGGTGGCCGCGCGTCCGGCTCTACAGCTCGCTGCCTTTCCCTTGCCGCACCAAGCCCTGCATGCACCAACTTGAGCCGCGTAGGAGAGGGGTTGGTCACAGACCCTTTTGTTCGCCGCCCTCCCCTTCTAAAGACCCTTCTCCCGCTGCAGTGTGTCCTTGACTTCCGTTAGGATCGGCAGACGGACAATGGAAGAGCTGGCCTGGTGTGTGGGGGTCTCATTAGCTCCCCCTAAAGTGCCCGTGGAAAAGCCATTGTGGGGAAACTGCTCCAGCGCGTCAGCTGGGCATCTCCGGGAAGCTGGGCAGAGGCTCACCTTGCTGAGGACCCAGTAAAGGAAGCCAGGCAGGGAGGCCTGCTGGGTGTGGGTCTGGCTTCTCAGGTGTACTCTGGGCTGGCTGGCCTCATTCGGAGAGGAAACCAGCCTACTCTCCACCCTCAGCTTGATCCTGGGGAAATAGGAAGTACCCCCTTCTCCTCCACAGTGACCCTTTGATAGGCTCAGAGACTTGAGATGGACTGAGAGCCCCCTTCCAGGATCAGTGGTCAGCCCCTTGCTTCAGCAGGGTGTGCAGGGGGGCAGGTGCAGGTGCAGGTGCAGATGCAGGACTGTACCCAAGACCCAGCGTGGAAGAGCTGCAGCTGCTGGCATGTAACAGCCTCCTCTTCCTCCCAGAGAAGGAAGGACTCTCCGGCCACTTGTGTCTTCCTGCCTGCAGCTAGTTGGAGCACACAAACACGTGTATATTCACACGTGAAGGTGTGTATACACACATCGCATGCCCGAACATGTGCACACATACGCTTGTGCCCACAAATGTGTATACAAGGCACATACTTGTATACCTGTATTTTTCCTACCCCACTAAATGGAAATTTATTCAAGATTGGGCTTTCTGTTTTTTTGAACTTGATGCTTGGGGTGGAACTTAGGGCTTTCTGAGCAGACACTGTCACAGAGCTAAATTCCCGCCCTATTTTTATCTTTTTAAAGAGGTAAGACGTCACCTGGCTAGTTGTGGCATGTTCTTCCTAAAATCTCCCCAGAGGTTCAAGAGTACCCAGATAAGCCCTGAATCTGGCAGGCTGGATTGGGTGAAGTAGGATTTCTCAGCACACACCTGAGGTTGGGTGACTTCTAAGAAGGTCACCAGCAGGCCAGCCCTTGGGTGAGTCAGGCCAGGCACCTGCCACAAGGCCAGAAGGTCATGATGTTGAGTGGAGGCAGAGCTGATGTGGAGCTCGCTCTGCCACTCTGGGATGGACAGCAAGTCCCTGGGCTCCCCTGGGCTGGTGTCCTTGTCTGTGAAGTGGTCATAACGCCTAGTGAATATACACAGCACCTGGACGTTGCAGAGCTCGGGGCATTACTCACCTCTCTGCTCCATAAACATCCTTTCACCCACACCACAGGGCAGAGACCGGCCATGCTGCCGGCCACGTTCCTTGCTACTCCGTCATTAGCGACCCTGAGTGCTCACAGGTGGACCTTTAGCCTGGGTGAGAACTAGGTCTTTGGGTTTCTCCGTATGTGTTGGCAGAGATCGCCTCTTGCTGGCCTCTCAGGCTCCACACCCAACAGCTCTGTGTCCATCTATGCTGCTGAGACCTTGAGTGCCAACCAAGAGCCCTTCCTCTTCCTAGGTACTGGATACATCAGAGTTCCCAGCAGGCAGTGGTTTCTGGCTTGCTTTACTAACCCTGTCTCCTCTCCACTGGAGGCCCAGGAGCAAACCCCAGCTGCTTCTCAGGAGAGGGCTCCGGCCCTGGGGATGAAGAGTTTGTGTTGCTTTCTGCCCTGCAGTCCTGGTGCAAGGCTACCCACGGCTCCTGCTTTATCTCTGCTCTTTGTCCCATTGCTGCCGACTCCTGGGCATGATGGGAAGAAGGAGGCCATGTTCCAAGCACTGGTTTATGCGGGTGTTACCTGCCCAGCAAGGTGCAGGTGGAACACCTTACACCCTCTTGATCCTTCAGGGACTCTGATGAACCAGCCCAGCTGTTTAGAGGCTGCGCAGTGCTTTCTTTCATACGTGGGAAAAATTCCTGATACACAGTATCATCACCTGTGTGGGTTTCTTTCGTGGAATGATAGTAAGAATCGGGGGGAGAGTCTGGGTTCTGTCTCTGAGACATTTTCTAGGAGGCCTAGGCAACTTGTCCCTCTGAGCCCTAAGCAAAGGCTGTAGGACCCATAGGTTGGAGAGCCCTTGCCCCAGGGCCGCTCTTCAGGACCTCCACTCTCTCCATCTCTGTCTTCGTTGGTTACTCCAACCTGCCTGTTTTCTCACTATAAAGTGGGGTAACACTGAACCTGCTTGAAGGTTAGACAGGACGAAGCAGATCACACAGCCAGCGAACCGCACATGAGGAGCTGGGTGCTAGGGTCCAGCGTGACTGAGACAGAGGGTTACTAAAGTAGCCAGTTGGGCGATGGCTACATTGGGGCCATCTGCTCTGGCCTGGGTCTGGGGAGACCACCAACAGTAGACAGTGTTGTTTCTAACTGATGGAGATGTTGCAGAGGGACATGGTGGGTCCTGTGCTGGGTAGAGCCACAGCACCACCCATGCTGGAGACTGATGGATCGTCTTCCTAACCCTGTGAAAATGGGCTTTGTGGGGAAGGTTCCCTTTTTGCACACTGGGAATCGTTTTTTTTTTTTTTTTTTGAGTCTGCCTAATGGCCAAGGGACAGTATCACCTGGCCAGTCGTGGCTCTACATTCCTGTTGAAGGAGCAAGGAGTTGGGAACCAGGGTGCCCCCCAAGCCCAGACAGATCCTGGCTTCCTGAAGTCTGTTCTCTAGAAACTGAGACCCCGTCCATCTTTGCTTTTGTCTTTCCTCAGCTTCCCCAGGCCGTATGACCCCAGGCCTCTGTACCTGCTCCTTTATCTCACCTGCCAAAGAGGAGAGTACTAAGCTCACTGACTCAGGAATGACAGAGACAGGCACTCTGCATTGGGAGCCAGAGGGCCTCAGTCTGGTAGCATGGCCAGGCCAGGCTATACAGACTCACAGCATGAGAGGCCTTTGTGGCCTCAGGGCAGCCAGCTTTGGGTGGGTTGAGTGGTCACAGCCAGATGAAGCGAGGCTTTGGAGCCTCAGTTGGAGCCCTGCACTGGTCTGGTGTGCCCCCTCCCCCAGCCACTCCCTGTGACTTTGTTCCAGCCCATCCCTGCAGCTGGAACCCAGGTCTTTCTATGGAAACAGCCACTTGAGTTTTGCTGAGCTGTTCCTGCTCTAAAGGGAGCAGTTGAGAAAGTCACAGGGCAGAGCAGTGTTAGGAAGGAGGTCAGTGTGGCTGGCTGTAACAGTTCGCCTCTGTGGCTCTGGTTGTGCTGGAGCTCCGAGCTCAGTGTGCCCAGGCCTGCCCGGGGCTTCTCACCATACTCCTGGGCTCCACCTAGCCTGGTCCTGTTGTGCCTTCATGGGCCTGCCAGGCTCTGACCAAAGGTCTCACCAAAGGTGCTCCTCTTTGGGTAGGCCCCTTGCACTGGGTGTCCTCAGCCTGCACACCCTGCTGGGCTGATTCCTGGGAAGCTGGGTCCATACTGCCTGTTTCTCTGACACCCTCTGCCCTGCCAAGGCTTTTACATACGTCCAGGCCCTTGAGGAGCCTTCAGTCCTAACCCATGGCACAAACTCAAGCTGGCGTCATCTCTTTGGTGGTCCCACTTTCCCACTTGCTGCTGTTTGAAGAATGCACCTGCCCTGGCTTTGTCCCCATGGTGAGCACAGTGGGACCTCGAGTGTCCCCTGGGCCTGACTGCCTTCTGGGATACGTCTGTCCCACCCTTTCACTCGAGGGCTCACAGTAGCCGCTCTGCCGTTCATGGTCTCCTCTCAAGTCTGCGGATGACCTGGTAGCTCAGTTCTCTGGGTTTGGCCATTGCTGTCACTTCCCTCGTCAGACCGGGTTCAGCAGCTCCCTTGACTGTTCTCACCAGTTCCAACACAATCCATTTGTCTTCCTCTGACATGTTTATAACATACTCTTTAAACAAATATGGGCACGGCACCCTGAGCACACTGAGCTAAGGAAGGAGGGCTGTCCTCCCCCCCAGGGGCCTGTGGAGCTTGGGGGAAGGAGGTGTGGTGAGCAGGAGGCATTTGGATGGCTGACTTTGTGCCCATCCTGACTGCGGGCCTGGGATAGCCCCGTGTCTCTGTCAGGGTCAGAGCTAGCTGTAAAAAACATCTCAGCTTTCCGTTCCCTTCAGTGCACAAGTCCCATTAAGGGTCCTCTTCAGTCAGACAGTCCCAACGACAGCTGGGCTGGAGGGGATACTGTGGGCTTGAACTAGCCTGACACCATCAGAGGTGACTGCTGGCGGCCTGCAGACCTCTGGAAATATGTGATGTTGCCCTGTGGCACACAGGACTGCTCTGCCCTTGGTGGTCACGGAGCAGAGGCGTGCCTGGTCCCTTGCTGTGTCTGATTCTGCCATTCCTGGCTGGGAGATGGAAAGGCAATCTTCCCTTTAGGGAAGTAGGTGGGTGGTGATGGACTCTGCAGAGGGACTCTGCAGAAGCTGGTCGGGGACTGGAGCAGGTGGGTACCTGGGAGGCT